CTGTCGATATTCGAGTTAGTCTCAGTCGGGTTTGTTTTAATTAGAGAATGTAAGCATTCCAAAGGCTAAGTAGAATATTACGAGACAGGAGGATTTCTTTGACAACAAAGAAAAGAGTACTGAGTTGCTACATGTCATCTGTCCTCTTTTACGGCAGCTAATGTTGGACAGTCTCCTCAAAGATGAAAAGAGACTCGAGGCAGTGGAGGTATTGTTCTGCAGAAGGATGCTAAGGATATCATGAACTGAGCGTGTGAGCAACGATGAGGTTTTGGGAAGGATGCAAACAAGGAGGAGGCTTATATTTAATATCTGGGCGAATAGAGGGAACGAATTGAAGGTATATGCGAGCGAGAGGAAAGAACTAAACATAAAGTCTAAGAAGACAGAATGCATGGTCATCAGTAAAAGGGCGAGCCCGAAATGCGATTTACAGGTTGGGGACACTAAAATCAAGCAGGTGCGGAATATCTGGGAAGCGTTCTGATAGAAGACAGTAAATGCGACGAACAGATTCAAAGGAATTCAAGAACGGTGTCTCCAATAGGAGCATTGGGTTCTGTACGAACGTCGTCTGGGGAAATAGAACCCCATTTAAATTAAATAAGACATGATATTAAATAGCCACGTCAGACTGAGACTTTCAGGTGGATGTCATACATTGCGTCAAACATGTTCAGATATATCTAAATCATCAGCTGTTCAAAAGCGCTGCCTAAGATCAATGCTGGGAAAATGGCTTTGAGGACCACCTTCATTCCAACATTTTTGACTGGCGTAATACAAATCACGAAGAATTGTTCCAGATAACAGAAACCATATAACTAAATGACTTTCAACGGCAACATCTAAAACGGGAATCACGTGTAATTCAAACAGAATAATAACACAACCAATGTGATGACTTTACTGACTGCTTCAAAGAACTTGTTGCAGGCCCGGTAGGGTGCAGTGCTGGTTTATTACGAAGTGGCCTTGTGCCATACACCACACTAAACTACCGAGTCCACAAGCAAAGTAAAAAAAGATAAAAATGCGTGAATGAACAACGAAGGAATGTGTTTAGTCCACACGTGCATAAAATAAAAAAACATTAACGAGATAGCCTGCACGGAATGACAGAAAAAGACTGGATTCAAACAAGAGTAGTTTTTATTAAATGCAGAAAAACAAGTAACTTATCTCGTGGTAGAGATCAATGAAAATGTTCCGCGCCAAAATAGAAAGCAAGATGGCTAAGGCGGGAAAAGTTCTTGAAGAAGAAGGTTCCAGAAAAGTCAATCTACCAGAATATTATACATACAAAGAAAAATACTCACTGCGAGTTTTTGTTAGTGCGAGTGAAATGTTATGTATATTTTTTTTTGGTACGGGTTCAAAGCAGATTAGAGTCCAATGAATTGAGAGTGTATGTGATTTTTTGTGTTTTTTTATTTTGTGTTCAGGTTCAAAGTAGGGTCTCAGAGTTCGGTCAGGTCTTGAATTAACTGTTGAGAATTTTTAACGGGATGCTGTGGACGTCTAGCCAAAAGGATGAAGAGCTAGTTGCGGTCGGTCGCATCGTCTATGAGAAGTTAATTATGGCGAGTCCAGAAGGGCGAAGAATTAATTATTGGTGTTTGCATCGTAAGATGTCCCTCGTCTCTCAACCTTAAATATCGACCGGGATAAATGAGTCTCTGCTTAGGTCCGAGTTTGGATCACAACTAACTTTTGAACCAACAGTTTGTCCGTGACGTCACAGAAATTTCGCGGGAAGATTTCAAAAATCTAATTTGCATAAGAAGGAATAGCAGGTAGCTTGACTGACGACAAAAAACCAGTTTACTACTGTGTCTGATTGAAAGAGGAAGGAAGGGGTGTGAACGCGCGCGCGCACACGCGAGTGTGGAAGAAAGGGAGGAAACTCGCGCGCGCGTAGAATGTTGTAGATGGGATAACGCGTTATTCCATAAAATAAAATAAAAGAAAAGAGTAGATAGACAAAAAAAAAAAAAAAAAACAGAATAAAAATAGAAAACAAACGAAAAACGAACGGTAATTAAAGAACGAGAATAAGAATGATGAACAGGAAAAGAAACGAATAAAAGTTGAAACAAGAAATAAAAAAAGATAAAAAAAACAGTTCATAAGATGAAAAGAAGAACAAAAACATAGGAAGAAAACTCTTATCAATACATGAAAGAGCAATAACAGTTACTGGAGAGAAGTAACCTATTTTCATAAACAACATGTTTCTGTTACCTTATCGTTTCTTATTGCTTCACAAATTTATTTTTATTTCTTTCTTCTATTTTCATTTTCTTGTTCTGTTTATCTTCAACTGCAGCTGGTTTTATACCTTCTTTTGATTTTGTTCTTCCTTTCTTTGATTTTATTCTGCCAATTGCCCCTCGTATTTCTTGTACTGCGTCTTTTAACTTTCATTTTTTTTTCAACTTGTAAACTTTTAGTTGTTTTTTTATGTCAACGAACACTCGTTGCCACTTTTGTGATGTCAACGAATACTCATTGTTACTTTCGTAATGCTCGTTATAGTAGAGACTTTGTAATCGCAGATACAACTATAATACGCCGTTGAAGAATACTGGCGTCAGACGCCTTCGAATATCACCCGTACTAATGGTACTTGCTCGATAATTCTCGCTCGAAAAGTAACCACCGTATTGATCCGAATAGAAAATAGTGTAGAGATGAGAATCGCGGTCCGTATAGTAATAGAGGATAGACTAGAAATGGAGATTCATATAGTATAGTGGAGAGACCAGAAACAGAGAACGATTAGACGTCAGACGACTTCCTATTTATGCATTTCCTCTAGGGTCACGTGGTATACTTAATTCAATATTCAAACATTCTTGATAAACTCCAAAGAGGAATCTGCAATATTATTGGTCCTGAGCTGCCATCTCGGTTTCATCCATTTTCCCACTGACTTAACGTATCGTCCATGTGCACTTTTTATAAATATTTCATGGCGACTGTTCTGGTGAGTTTTCATCTTTGGTTTGGTTTGGTTTACGGCCTATCAACCTGAATGCGTTATTTAATACCGACAAGATTGTTATTGCTGGCTATATTTTTTTTTAGAAAAATGTATTGCTGGTAATAATTTTTTTTTTCAAAAATTTTTTACTGATAATATTTTTTTCCTCAAAAATGTATTACTGGTATTATAACATATTTTTACATTTTCAAAGTGTTTTGACTCCAGTTCGGGGGTTAATTATTTGCTAATAAATAGGACCCAAAAAGGTGCTACCACCACGGGTCAGGGTGGAGCTGGGAGCACCAGCAATTGAGCTGTGGTTCCACGCTCCTCAAAACCTCCCGATCAGAAACATTGTTGTTGGACGTAGTTTATCTTCTTACCCAGGACGCGGATGTAGTTTATCGTCTCAACCAGAATGTGGATGTAGTTTATCGTCATACCCAGGATGTGGATTTAGTTTATCGTCTTACCCAGGATGCGAATGTAGTTTATCGTCTTACCCAGGATGTGGATTTAGTTTATCGTCTTACCAAGGACGTGGATGTAGTTTAACGTCTCACAAAACAGGTGGATGTAGTTTATCGTCTCACAAAACAGGTGGATGTAGTTTATAGTCTTACCCTGGACGCGGATGTAGTTTATCGTCTTAACCAGAATGTGGATGTAGTTTATCGTCTTAACCAGAATGTGAATGTAGTTTATCGTCTTACCCAGGACGTAGATGTAGTTTATCGTCTTACCCAGGACGGAGATGTAGTTTATCGTCTTATCCAGGAGGTGGATGTAGTTTATCGTCTTACAAAACAGGTTGATGTAGTTTATCGTCTTACCCAGGACGCGGGTGTAGTTTACCGTCTTACCCAGGACGTAGATGTACTTTAGTGTCTTACACAGGACGCTTTCATCTTTGGTATCTAGACTTTATGAATATAAGCGCAATACTAGATCTCGTAATTTTATAGTTAAAATGGCTAGATGTAGCTGCAAGTTCTGTAGTAACAGCTTCGTTCACACGTGTCACATATGAAACTCTCTTCCAGCTCTTCCGCCGTTAATCAAAGAATTAAATACAATGTCAATCGTTATCTTCTGTCTTCTTAATTCTTGTACTTTTAATGTCATATCTCTCCTATATCTGTCATATGTTTATTTGTTTCTATTTTTTCACATTCTTTCACACCCAGTAGCTGCATACGTCAGAGTGACTTTATGTCCTTGCTTGCAGTGACATGACGATAAAAAAAAGGCCGTAAAGATAACTTCTTTTAATTTCAATCACTTTACTTCTCTTTTCACTCGATCAAAAATATTTCTCTCACATTGTTTTATTTCTCCTAAAATCTAAAAGAAATAAAGACGAGAAAAATATTATTATCTTGATCCCCACCCCCGTTAGTCTAAGACTTTATTCCTGTTCATTTATTCTTTTCCCTTTGTTTGGTTGTTTGCTTCTCGTTAATTCGTGATTCCTTCTTTAAAGCATTTTAATCTTAGCTCTCCTTCTTTGATATTAATATCTATTTTCTTTTTCTTTTTATCTGTTAAATGCAACCAAAGTCACGTGGCTCTTCTTCGCTAAAACTCTTTAATCTACTTGTCTTTCTAGATTATTTCATGCTATAATTAATGACAAATAAAAAGAAAAACACCTTTTCGTGTTGGCGCCAGATGTCGCCTTCCCGTTCTTTCCCGCTCTTTGTATGTCTAAGTGTTACCCTTTGGTCAGGGTGGGAATATAAGCGCTTATAGCAAATATACTACCGACATTGTCTTCAGTGATAAGATTGGTTTTAAGATCATTAAACTCTATAGTATATAAAAATGTTACGTGCGTGTATGTCTGTGTGCTTTAATTCAAAGTGTATTTGCAGGGAATAAAAAGTACAATGATAAAAAAGAAAAGACAAAGCAGATGCAAGGATAAAATGAAGATAACAGAAAGCGTGGGTCTTTTTATGTCAATAAACTCAATAGCTGGTCTCACTCAAAAAATAAAACGAGGCATATAATGAGCGACAAAATACATTCTTCACCTCCCCTTCTTCTTCTTCTTCTTAACCTCCTCCTCCTCCTCCTTCTTCCCTCCACCTCCTACTACTACTTCATTTTTAGTTCCTCCGCCTTCTTCGTCCTTTTCTTCTTCTTCTCTTTCTTCCTCTTCTTCCTCCTATCCTCCTTCTTCGTCTTGTTTGTCCTCTCCTCCTTCTTCGCCCTTTCACCAACACCTCCCTCCACCTCCTCCCCTTTCTTATTCTCGTCCACCACCTTCTTCTCACCTCCTCCTCATTCTACTTGTCCCTCTTCTGCTTCTCGACTTCTTCGCTCCTCGACCTCCTTCTTCTTCTCCTCCTTCTTCACCATACTTCTTCTTCTTCTTCTTCTTCTTGTCCTCCGCCTTCTTCTCAACTCTTCCTCCTCCTCCTTCTTCTTCTTCTTTGCTCTACCCACTCCTCCTCCTCCTCCTTTTCTTCTCGACCTCCATCTTCTTTTCTTCTTGACCCCCACCTTCTTCGTTCCTCCTCCTTATTCTTCTTCACGTCCTCCACCTTCTTCTCCGATCCTCCTCCTCCTTCTTCTTCTTCTTTGCTCCCAGTCCTTTTATGGCTCTCCAAAACTTCCTAGCTCTTAGCAGTTTTGTCGTTCTTCCCTAAATCTCATGTTCTCCTGCTTGTTCACACAATCTCGCCATCTAAATGACTCGCTGACTTTCCTATCTCTCTTCTGTCCTCAATATGTCCCGTAAGTTTTAAATTTTCAGAAACTATCTTAGAAAATAGGGTCGCTAACTATTATTCAACAAACGGTAATGCTGGGAATGACCGTTTCAATTTCAGGTGTCAAGTCCATTATTATCTTTCTTTTTAGTATAGATGAGTATTTCCTTGCTAATTTTTTGTTTAATGCAGTGTGGAAGATCAACATCTACATTACACATTTGTGCAAATTAACTGAAAAAAAAAAGAATAATTCCGTTACTATGTACTGTTTTCGTATTCTTCCAATAAAAAATAACCCAGTGCACCTGTTAGTACTTCGTATGCCCATTCCACGAAGTTGTTCCTTGCAGATTAACCACAGATTCTCGATTGGATTTAAATCAGGAGAGTTTCCGTTCCATCTAGAGTACTTGAATTTGCTCACTGGTAAGGCCTGCCAGTGTGTTCGTGCAGCGTCACAATCTTCGTACGCTTCCTTGGAGTAACGTCCATCGCCACAATGGCCATAGGACAACTAAGCGACAATCGTGACAATAGTGTTTGGGCGTGATAAAATCTGATTCAGTCACGGATGATGCAATATTTATTATTTATTTGCTTTCTAATTCAAATATTTTATATATCTACTTTTGAGGTACTTTTGAATGATAACCAAATTTTCTTTCTTCCATTTTGGTTATTCTTGCTTCTTAATCTAGAATTTATGACGATAAAAAAGAGACAACAGGGTTCAGAGAAAACTTCTGAAAGGGTTATAAATTATTTTGGTAAATTTTTAAAAAATTCTTTAATATTCGTAACTTATATTTTTTATTTGTAATCGTTTGCATGTTTCATAAAAAAAAAAGTGTTCAAAACTTTTTTTTTAAGTTAATTAACAATTTCACGAAGAATACGGAATAAAAAAAATTGAATTTATGTCATGGCTTACCTTTCAATCAACCATCGAAGTATGAATTTTTTTTAATTAAAATTGAGAGTTGACTTTTTTCTGATTAGAATGAATAAAAAAAGCTTTTTAAAATGTTTAGAAATTATTAGTCAGAAGAGGAAGGAAATAATACGAATTAAAACTTTATATAATTTCTAAAGTCATTGCACATAAATAGCTATTTTAACAGAAAAAGAAGCTTTAGATATTTAACATAAAAATCGGAATTAATGCATTAGATCATGTGTAGGTGAAATATATAACGGTTAACCCAAGCTCAAGCAGAACATAGAGTTAAGAAATGTAGTTTCATTTTGTAAAGGCGGAAAGAGGAAAAACCACAAATTTTATCATACACCCCGAAAATAGTTACTGGTCTTATTTATGAGGCTTTTTTTCTTTCTTTGTGTCACTCTTCTTTCTTTCTTTCTTTCTCTCGTTCTTTATTTCTTTCTTTTTATCGCTCTTTCTTTAATTTTCTCTTTATTTCTTTTTACTTTCTTTCTTTCTTTCTTTCTTTCTCTCGTTCTTTATTTCTTTCTTTTTATCGCTCTTTCTTTAATTTTCTCTTTATTTCTTTTTACTTTCTTTCTTTCTTTTTTTCTTTCTTTCTCTCGTTCTTTATTTCTTTCTTTTTATCGCTCTTTCTTTAATTTTCTCTTTATTTCTTTTTACTTTCTTTCTTTCTTTCTTTCTTTCTTTCTTTCTTTCTTTCTCTCGTTCTTTATTTCTTTCCTTTTATCCATCTTTCTTTCTTTATTTCTTTGTATCCCTCTTTTTTTCTTTCGTTCTTTGTGTCACACTTTCTTTCTTTTTGTACCATTTTTTCTTTCTTTCTTTCTTTCTTTCTTTCTTTCTTT